AGGGGGTGGGGGCTGGGTTCGCAAGATTACAAGAGAATTGGGTTATTAAAAGCTTGGGATTGGGGTTTTTCCATTCCTTCCAAGTTCCTATAAACCCGTACATGGTGCAAACAAATCCACTTCTTAACAAAACCCAAATTAACCAACCCCAAATGCAACCAAACCTATCGCAAGCATCCCCACGGCTTAAAAAAAAAAAAATAGATATATCTAAGGTGCAAAATGGTGAAGTGGTTGATTTGATACTCCCCATCCCTGCTCTGCCCAATCTCCCCCCTCTTCTTCCTCCCGCCGTCGCTGTGAGCGGACTGTGAGCAGCCAGCTGCTGCCGCAGGGCACAGCCAGCTGCCGGAGAGCGGAGTGCGAGCACCCCACGATTTCTACAGCAGCCGAGTTGGCAAAATTCATTTGAAACACACGGGGTACAGAGACTTAGAGCAGCAGGACTAAGTCTCGAGCCTGGGCAGCATTCTGCAACTGCAAAAGTGCAAATGGCCACTGATCTGAGCAAAAGTCCTCAAGCTCCCTGGGCTAACTGGGAAGCTGCTATAAAACTGAAAACTAATTCTGTACCGATTTGCACTGTAAAAAAAAAAAGAGAATGTGAATATGTAAATAAGGAACTTGTATTTGATTACACCGTAATTAAAAAATAAAAGGGATGGAGAAGCAAGAACCACAGAGAAGCGGTTTTCATCACTGCCATCAACAGCAACATCATGGGTTGTACCTTGAAAATTCCTCAAATTTACATGCAGGGTTTTTTTCGAATTTATAAAAATGACATGCAGCTCAAAATGAAGAAAAAGCTAAATATGAAGCTACAGCTTCATTGACACTGCCTCTTCTGACAGCAGACAGCCTCATTCTTTAGCAAACCCTCACAGCAGGGCCCAGCTGCCCTCCCATTCTCCGAGATGGCTGCAGCTCTCCAGCCCCGCTCATTACTCCCCACTCATGCCCCCTGCCACCTCCTATAAGCCCGTTCCTATTCCCTCTTCCTCTGGTTTAGTAGTTTTCCATTTATATTTTGTACTCTGAAGTAATGCAGGGGCTTCAGCAGCACAGCCCGTGGCATGGAGCCTTGCTGCATTGCCAATTGCTTTCCTTTCCCATTGTGGCAGATCTTCAAGTGCTTCAGAGCAGCAAATGCTGGACAGCTTTCTGCTTCCCCCATCCTACCGTTCCCTTCTAGATGACCGATATAAAACAGCTATTCCTGGGGCTTTTCCTATGCTGATCACTTCTGGTGTATTCGTAGCAGGGAGCAGACAGGTTCCTGTTTAAATCCATTCGACAGCCAGGGGCACACTGGGCTCCTATTTCAATTTTGGCAAGCCACGATACACAGAATATGGAGTTCCGCACCTGGAATAAAAGGGTTAAATTCTGCATGTAGCTGTACGAATCAAGGTGAGGTATGTATAAGATAATTCATGGTCTTTATGACATGCACTTAATCCACTTCACCTATTTGCCAGCTCTGGCCCACAGCAAGGTGCATAGCAAGCTAAAATCTTGTACTAGTAACCCAAAGAAACTGCCTGGGGTTGCACTGCTATTTCTTCTTCACTCCTTCTTCCTTCTCCCCAACGTATATGCTTACTTTTGTATCAGCTTTGAGCTTGTTACATCAAGAATTTTTTCCACGCTCCTCCAGTTTAATGACAGCATATCAGAGAATGTCAAAAATCCTGTATTAGGGTTTATTCTTTTATATAAACATTAACATTTCTCAAACAGATTAGTTAAAAATACAGATTTAAACAAGAATTTTTTGCAATTGCAATGAGTTATAAAAAACAACAGATTATTTTACAGATTGTTACAAGTGCTTTACAAAGGTGCAGAGTGAAGGCCAGTGGCAGGGGACCAACCTCAAGTGCAAAATGGACACGATACCCTCACCACGGGCATAGCGCTCAGATACACAGCCAAAAAAAAAACCAACCAAAAAACAAACAAACAAAAAAACGAGCCATGTGAACCTAGACTCTTGGGATGCTCACCGGGCAAGCAAACAGGCTCCTACGACAGAGAAGACTCATGAGACCAAGCTACCAGGATACTTAAGGTTACATTTCTGAGATCAGCCGTAAGATGTTGTTTCTTGGAAAATAAGGAACATGTTTTACAACAGTATATTTCTCTTCTGTCAGACAAAATATTGCTGTAAATCCTAGAATACTTATGGATGTGGATACTTAAGTACTTGGGGCATAAATCCAGTGTGGATCTCACAGTGCCCAAAGCGAAGAGAGGATACAAGACCCAAGTGTCCTTCTAAAGCAGTTGGCACTCCTCATACAGGAGAGACCTCCATCTTCCATGATGATCACTCAAACCTTAAGCAAGTACCTTGGAAAGACTTTGGCAAAAGGAAGAAGACGCAAGTGGATCTGGTTACACCCAATAGTCCTGCAGCCCACGATCTGAGAATTGTGCAACCCGTAGCTCACGCAATGCCCACGTATTTCATTAGATGCAGCGTGTCCTCTCTCCTCAGCCGATACATCTTCGCACCTACATCGGAACACATGCCACATGCTCCAAATTCTTGGGAGTTCTTGAGATCTTTCCACCACACCTACCTTGCCTAGGTACCAGTCCTTCCCACCTATCTTTCCTCTATTCCACCCCTAAAGAAAAAAAAAAAAAAAATCTATGCCCTGATTTGTTTTTCCAGCTGTTAGCAAATCAAAGGTTAAGTGAACTGGCTGAGAACCACCATGAGACAAAACCATGATGTATTACATTAAAAATAATCCACTAATTTATGCCTGACATCCTTCTGATGTACAAATGTTCCCTACCCAGAGAACCTCCCTGTTAGACAAAGGGCACTAATGCATTAGAGGGATCCTTTCTCCAAAGGAGGGCCAGAATGAAAGGGCAGCTCTAGAGATAAAGTCTCATAATAAAGAAATAACAGCTACTTCTCTCGGAATCATCTTATAGGGCAGCACGCACAAGAGATTTTATTTGTAGGAAACCCAGTGAAATCCCCAGAACATCCACATTGACTTCCCTGAGCTCCTCAGATCCAGGTACACTGGGGACCCTGCAGAAGCCTTTTGAGCTGGGTTACTCTCAACAGAGAGGGTTTGGCAAGTTCCTGTAAATTCATTTTCATAATCATCAAGAGAGGAGAGGATCAATGGGCAAACCCTCAGGACATGCTTAGAGAAGAGAAAGATTCTGAAGAAAGAGGTGTATGTGTGTGTGGGGAAGGTCTTCATTTCTACCATTTTCTGATGTTTCATGTTATTCCTTCGGGGTATGGGCACTACATCGAAACCAGCCCCCCCCTATCTGATCTATCCCAGCTGCCTCCTGCACTGTCTCATGACAGCAGCAAAACCCCAGGCTCATCACTCCCTGCACTGCCTAGCCCAGGGTTCGGTGCTTTGGAGGGGGGAGGCTGGCTTCTCGTTAGCAAAGGCTGGGAGATGGCGTTATGTCGACACATCAGTGCCCTGGGAGCATGCGGTCACTCATGCACATCCCAGATTTCTGAGAGCAGGGGAGGGAGTTTCTTGTCTTGCAGCCGAAGGGCAAACACCTGTTCGGAGTGGACACTACTTAGTGTCCGAAGACTGACCAGCTTCATTAACATCCGTGGAAACATCAGGCGGTCCTGCAGTCAGACAAACAGACAGCTGTTAGTAAACTCACACTAAAACTTTGTTTTAAAAAAAAAAAATTGCCACAGTGGATGATGCATGGGAACAACAATCCTGACTTCCTCTAAAGCTGGCATTCTCCAGGAGGCGTCAGCATGGAGGAACACAAATAACACACCATGTCCCAAAACCCCACAGTCTCCATGCTGGCTAAACTATGGAACATGATACAGGACAGCAGGCCATGACAGCTCACAAATCCTGCATTTACAGCTGCTACCAAACAGCCACAGAACGGAAGAACATGACAGTTCAGGCAGCAAGAGACCCGTTACGCAGGAACTGTGCCTGCATAAACACAAAATTGTTTTGCATCATCGTTGGGGATGTTCTGGTCAGGCACTTACATTTGGTCTATTGATGCAAATGTAAGAATGAAGGGCTTCCACATAGGTGTGCTGCAGCCTCTCCACCAGGGACTGGTCCTGCACATTCGGTCGGTCTGCCAAAAAGTAGGTTCTAAGTGAGCAGATTGCCACAGGCAGCTTCACTGGACCTGACATCCCTGTCTAGTCCCAGTCCCTCATTATGGCCTCTCCCCAAAACCTCATCTACCATTCACCCAGCACAGCTGGGAGAGTCATCCATGACTGCAGCAGCTATGTCAGTTTTCTGTAACTGCTCTTTCTCAGTCCCATCTATTGCACATGGGGAGTCCAATCTGACTCTTTTATAGAGGTGGAAGGTTAGAGAGTCCAAACAGCACTCTGCAAGTGTGTTTGGTCTCACAGTACTGTCCCAGTGAAGATGAGAAGCTGCCCATTCAGGAGGGAATGGAAGTTTCTCCAGCAGTTGAGCCAATTAAAAAACAGGCACAAAGAAAAAATTAATCTTTCAGGTCACAAGACAGAAAACAGAAGAAAAGAGCAGAGGTGGCTTCTTTGCAAAGCCCTGTCCGGGCCCCGAGCGATACTGGTTCTCACATATGGGCTATCTTTACTCGACCAGTAGATGTCACTCGTGTCGTGTAACCTGCACCACGCCTGGGACGTGACAAGGACATTACAGGGGTAGTGAAAGAGCAATTGCTAAATGAGGAAGATAAATACTGGCTGATTTTTCTGTACACTTTTCCATCGGTGGGGAATCCAATTTCCTCTGGAGGCGTCACTAGAAAATTTAGAAAATGAGTACCCTAAGCAGAAGTAGTAACACACTCCCTTTATCACTCTGCACCTTTGTACACCCTCTATTACTCCTCTTCAGCTTGTGACCTTCCTGAACTCTGCTTTCTTTGCTCTCTGACTCACTGCTGCAGTTCCTCAGATCTCCCTGGCCTTTTACCTGCAGAGAAAATATTGATGGCGATTAAAAGTGCATATTCAGCATCGTTGAGCTGTAGCTCATTCATTCCCTTTGAGAACTCAAAGATGGGGTTAATGAACTCAAACTGCAGACCTGCAACAAACAGAAGAGAACGAGGTGAGACAACTACAATTATCTTCTCTCTCTCTCCCTCCCTCTCACAGAGTAAGCTGCCAGAAACCCACCCCAGCATGCCAGGGAGTGGAGAGGACAGGCAGGCAGGGAAAAGCCCTTGCTTTATGTTCCAAGGGTGGCTGAAACCTCCTGTTACATCCCACCACCACTGGTGAGCACCAACAACAGTGGCTGAGGAGTCAGGCTCTAACTGTAAAATTACATTATTTCTTGGTTTTCTTAGAGCCTTAAATGCCCCACAGCACATTACTGGGCAACAGGTAAAGGAACACAACATCAGCTATCAGGTTAAGTCCATCAAAAAGTCATAAGCCCACAAGTACAACATCCACACTTTCCACTCTCACACCATCACCTCCTTCAAAGGCCCTCTAGCTTTCAAAGAAAGCTTTAATCCCATGCTCCAGATTCCAAAGTCCATCCGAGATGAAAATACATAGCTCCAACAAGTCTGAACTCTGCCATTTCCTTCAGCTGAAAAAGCTGGGAGAGCTGAGGCAGAGCCTGACTTAGGTTCCAATCACCTTTGGTAAATGCAGTCAGGCAGAAATGCATTGATATTTATTGTCATAACATCCAGAGGTCACTGTCAAATCAGGTCTCTCTGTGCTATGTGTTACACAGTCATGCTGAAAACTTCAGGCCTTTCCCCTCAGAACAGCATCCAAGTTTCTAATTTCCTGCAGTACAACTGTATCAGAGAAGAATGAACAAGATGAGAGAATCCTTCTGGCTGCCTGTTTGTTGCTTTCCTAATCATCTCAAGAAAAAGGTACCAAGAAGAGCATCAACGAGGAAAGTTGTATATAAAAGCCATCTCAAGTATAAATGGCTAAACCGCTACCCAAGGAATCAAAAAAAATCACATGAAGGACAGCCAAAGTCTCATTTTCAAAAATACCGAAGATACACACTTCCTGTTACTTCATCTGAAATTACAGAGACTCGCTGCTCCTGGAAAAACAGAGTTCAGAAATCACATCACCAGAGGCCATCGCATACTGAGCTTGATGACATGTCCAAAGCACTCTGCGGGGATCCAGTGCACAGTATAGACTTCGTATCAACTGAAATGCAACTCACTAACACCATCACTCACAGCAGGCATCCAGATTAGCAAGTGCCAGACTTGCAAAGGAGAGAAGACTGGGGTTTGATTTGTTGTGATCTGATACAGCTCTAACACCATGTTTCCACATCAGGTCTCTACCAGCAAGGAAGCTCATATGCCCGCTGCTAGCCCTCAGTGCACTCTTACACAAAGACTTTCATGCTCTTAGAGTCCAAATTTTCCAAACCAAGTTCACACCTAAAAAAAGATATGAACTGAGCTAGTATCACATGTCAAAAGCAAAAAAAAGGTTTGTGGGGCTATTGGTCTGGTCCTGTTCTAAACTTCTCACCTGATTTCAGCTTTAAGGCTCCAAACACTATTTCCAGCAACCCACATTAAACAGGAAAAGATGAAAGAACACAAGACACAGGGAAAGAAGAAACACCTGTCTAATGCACCACCTGCTTTGGCGAAGTCATCCCGATTATAGCTCAAATCCTTAAGAAAGGTGATGCTCTCAATCTCTGGATTGTAGCGCCGAGACGTCTCCAACAACATCACCTGAAAACAGAAATAGATATACTTGATTTGAAAACAGGAAAGAATGTTAAAACATCGATAATTAGCTGAGTGTTAGAGCATCTCTGAAAAAAACAAAAAAAAACCCCAAAACCCCTCCAAGCAGTTTCTCTCAGAGCACTTAAAAATTCCACACTAAATTCTGTGGCATCCTTTGAGGTGTCTGCTTCTGGAAAGGGGGATTACCTGCTTACCACTACCAGGGCTCTTGCCTCCTCCTCCACAGCCCTTTGCCAGTACAGCCTGGCACTGCAGTAATGGTCCCATGGCTGATGTCCTTCAGCGTGCCATCCCAAAAGAAGTTCACCAGTTCTCCAGCTGAACACTCCAAATTCTTTCACCTCTGCAACCATGTACTGTGGTGGAGCCAAACTCTTACCTCTATGGTAGATGTCTTCAATAAAGCAATCTGATCTTCCCTGGTGAGCTCTAGGAAGCCAGGTAATTGCTTGGCAAAGTCCACAATCTCTTGCACAGAGATAATTGCAAGTTCTGTAAAGTGAGCAAAACGCTGCTGCCTTGCTTCACGGTTATTAGGGTCAGGAACCTGGGGCCATGGCTGTGGGAATGGGAAGAGACAACATTTTATATATATATATATATATATATATGAAAGATGGAGCCAGGACAGAAAGACAAGAAGATGAAGTGAACAGGGGAAGAAAATGAGACACATTGGAATACCATCCTTTTCTATTCTTTACAGAACTTTAGCCCACAGATGCCATGCCTAAAATATCTCTGTTCTCCCAGATAATTTGCCCACAACCCCAACTTCCCAAACTTCACTTTTTCTTGTTTTGGGTACACTGGTAGAGTTTTTACCGTCACTTTGAGCCTGTCTGTGAAGGAGCGCTGGTTGCACTGCTGCTGAGCCGCCACAAGCTTTTTTATCATGTTCAACTGTTCAGGCGTCAGCTTTTGGGAAGGGCTTGGCGGATTCGGAGGGTTTGGATGCACCACCACTGTTCGAGTCTGATCGTCTTCCTGCTTCTTCAGTTTCTTCAGTCGGATCTGCTCTTCAGACAGAACATCTAGCAGGAACAGCCAGAGATCAGTCATGACACAGGAGCACACAGGAAACCACACTAAACAGAGGGTAGGTAACACACTGTGGATGGAGAGGCAGAGATCACAGCTGCCTGTGATCACACAACACAAACAACAGACAGCAACACTTAGCATTTGTTTCTCCCTCTTTTCCTCACTTTAAGTCGTTCCACTGCCTTTTTTTTAATCATACCGTCATGCAAAGTGTTCAGAAAGGGCAGAAGCTCCCTTCATAATGCCCTGCAGATCTCAGAAAGACAACAGCAACTCTACCCACTGAGCAATTCCCCAAAATGTCACCTTATGACAGATTCCAATAGGTGCTCTCTTCACAGGCTGTGGTGTGTCCACTGCATTTTATATTACCCTGCTGTTGTGACTTTTTCCGATATTGCTAAATTAACAGCTTGTGCCACTTCATCTTCCTCTTGAGATGTCAGAGTCAGTACTGGATGGAGTTCAAGAGCGAAAGGACAATTTTCTACATGGGTCATCTGCAGCAGACTGTAGAGCAGTAACATACTGCAAGATGAACAAGGAAAAAAACAGCTTTACATAAAATGTACCAAGGACCTCAAGTCCTTCAGGAGTAGGGCTAGAAGTCTTCAGTGGTGAAGTCAAAGAATATGCCATTTAGGTGTAACATTGTAAGGAATAAAACAACTCAGAGATCTGTTTGTGAAAAATCCTACTGGAGCAAGAGCTCATTAGCTAAGTTAAATACAAAAAACCTGTTAACAGCCTGTAACTAAGTTAACTGAAGAATTCACTGATTTGAATGAGAGGAGGTTTGTTGTTCCTTCAGTCAAAGCTGCAAAAACTACCTGCAAGCTGCATCCAAAACAAAGGAAACTACCAGACACACCTGGATTCAAGGATTATCTTCAAGAGAGTCATCCTGTGAGCTAGGATGATTTGTGGCAAATGAACAAAAAGCAGAAAAGAGACGGACTGGGGAACAAAAAAACACAACACACAACCCTGAAGCTTTAGGAACAAAGATAAAAAAAATAAAGCCTGACTTTGCAAACAAGATTTAAAAAGTGCTGAAAGATTCTTTGGCCATTTTTAATGCCCAGGTAACAAGGCAACAAGGCTGCTACACAGGAAGGCAAGGCCCAAAACTGAACAAGTATACACTTGCACTTCTCAAAAGAATCATGTTAAACATGAAGACAAGAAATGGAGAACTACTGTGAGACAGCATTCTGAAACGGACAGTCCACAGGATTGGAGGGAAAGACGAAGAACATAGCACGCTGAAGCTGAGAGTAACCTTTGTCGCCAACTTCCAACTGGGAGAATGCATGCACAGGTACAGATGCATAAAAATCACAGTTCTAACAGCAAGGACGTTCAACACAATTACCAAATTAAGGGGGATCTGTAAGATTAGAGAATGCTAGTCAGTGTTAATTTAAGAAGGGAAGTAATTGATCCAAGCGATTCCAGTCCCTCATCTTGGGACTCGGATGCACAAAAAAAAATAATTTATGTTAACAAGTAGTAACAAGTTACCAGATACTACTGAACCTTGAAAATGCCTATGTGCAAGATTCTACACCATGCTAAATTCTCTAAGTTACTTGGTTTGCTATGAAGGAACTACTTAACCTCACACTGGCTTAAGAACAATAAACTGGCCAAGAATAACTTCAGTATGGGAATTAGAAGAATGTTTCCAACAATTAGTAGAGGGAAGTTCTGGAATAACCTTCCAAGTGGAACAGCTGGAGGAAAAAGCCCTCAGTTTCTGTCAAGATTAACAAGGTGAGTTCGCAGTGGGGATTAGTGTCAACGAGAACTGCCAAGCACTTGATAATATCAATCCAAGGATTCCTTTTTGGTCCAATTTTCCTGAGTTGTCCTCAACATAAGACAATGAGTAAACAGAGAAACACACTGAGGCTCTCTAGTATCTACCTGCAACAGAAGAGCAGCAAGGTGGACACGTAGCCTTGCTACATAGCTTTTCAAATACACCTGTTCTGTAGCTCTCAGAAGCAGGGAGAAATGGGGCAAAGAGCATATGTAATGCTGATACAAACTGGCGCGACAAAGACACTGATTACATATGTTAGGTGTGATGTGCTTCAGGTTGAAAAAACTGAACAGCATGTTTCCTTGATGCAGCTCAGTGGGCCTTACTTTTTGCAGAAGTATTTTTATAAGACATTTCCGAAATACTCTCTGTTCCTCATCGTTCTGGGTGCTGGATGTCAGAAAATGAGACTTCAAACAGATTTAACAATAACTGAGCATTCATTTGGTCAGTCTCGGCAAGCAAAAGGATGAAATTCGGATGCCTTGGCTGAGGATGGCTGCTCCCAATATGTGAGCAGGCACATTGTTGAACACTCAGGAACAGCAGCCGTATGGCTCATGTGAGAAAAACAGCAGAGTTCACTGAAGGGAGCAATGAGATGGGGTCTGCAAAAACACAGCTGCAGCACCGCGGTGCTGCCCCCACCTCTGTCACAAGCTCGCAGTACGAGGCAAAGGAAAGTACCTGTTGTTCAAGGAGCATGGTGACCCAACCTCGCAGTCCTGATCACAAGACAGACAGAAGCCTGAGTTTACCGATACAGCTGACAGCACACTGAAGAACACGTAAATCTTGGTTGCAAGTCTTTCCTCTGATGTCATATTCCACAAGATCTTTTAAGGAATACAGCTGGGTTGGGGCTCTCAGCACACCACTGCTGTTCCACTAGCAGCCTCACCTCTCGATGTGATCCCTGCTGAGCTCTCAGCGACTTCCCACGCACGTTCCAGCATGCGCGGCTCATGTGTAACCCCGAGCACCCACGCTGCCCCCTTCCTTACATGCATCAGCCCCCAGCCCACCCCACGTGCCTCCTGTCCCAGTGCTCCCACTGCACCATTTCCCGCACTCACACTGCTCCCGCATGCCCGCCTCCTGGCACTTGCGCAGCCGGCACTCCTGGCACTTGCGACGCATGTACATGTCCATCTCACACTTGCCACCATTCTTGCAGACATACTGTGCACCTTTGATGACGCTGCGGCGGAAGAAGCCCTTGCAGCCTTCGCAGCTCAGCACGTTGTAGTGGAAGCCGGAGGCCTTGTCCCCGCACACGCTGCACACTTCATTTCCCAGCATCTTAGGGGCTGGGCCCTTCTTCCTCTTCAAGGGGGGATTTTCTACCGAAACGAACAGTACAGAGGAAAAGGAAAAAAAGAAAAGACCCACACACATGAGGGAAGCATGGTGTTTGCAGCTGACTGCCTCACTCCTTACAATAACCAATATCCTCACTCCAACTACTACCTCCCAAACACAGGGTTTAAAAGATCAAGTCTCCCATTTATGCGCAACAAACCAATTACTGACATAATCCAAACAGTTTCACCTCAGCTATATAAGCAGATATACATATACAGCTTCATTCTTGTTCGTCTCCAAAATCGGGTGAAAGAGCCAAAATATGTTCAGGCCAGATGTTCTTCTGCCCTTTCCATTATCAGGAGTGACAGTTAAGTTACCAATGTGAGAAAGCTGAAAAAAAGTTGAGCTGAAATCCAAGACCGTGCAGAAAGTACTTTTCTTCAGAATTCACTTCCAGTTCCCTTCTATTCTCTGCCATACTCGTGCAGAAGGATAAGGAAAAATGGTTCAGCAAACAGTCACAGAAAACCAGTGCTGAAGCTGTGACTGTACAAAAAGCAGACTGAGTAGGCAATCCCTCCAACTGGAACACTTGGGGAAACCATTAAGGCAGAAGACAGCAACTCTGGGGAGTTCACGGCAATAAGCAGGCAAGCAGCACACTGCACAAGCTCTGTGAACCTTTGGAACCCTGAAGCCATCATTTCTTCTTCAAGAAGAGTGCTCCCCACTCCTAAAACTGAAACACACTCATCCTGACAGTTCATTTACTAAACATTGTTATTCCATCTGAAACACTACTGCCTCACATTTCAGATGGTTCTGTGCAGCAGCACCAAGTTTTTCCTATGTCCTCCTGACAGATCTTAATCTTGTCGCTGGCTGTGTGTTCTGGAAACATCTTCGGTCTGCTCCGACATGTCTCACCTTAGGCAGTCCAGCCAAATGCTTGCCAATGTTATCAGTGTATTCCCTCATTCCATTTAATTCTAGCCATGTTGACATCTGACACGTCCGTCTGCATAGCTCACAGTGCAAGTATTTTTCTGTATGTCACAATATTATAGATTCTTCTATGGCAGTTGTTCATAAACATTACAAACAGCACGTCTTGATAAGTCTCCAGATTATATTTAGACATGCCTGGAAAGCCTTTACACTGGATTTAATTCATAGGGACTGGTCTGCAGGACAAAGCTGCTGCATTTCGTGATGAACATCAGGGTTACAATGGCAAGTCTCACTTTTGCATGTATGGTTTTAATATTTCCGTCTTTACTCTCAGTTATGCTTACTATTCTGCTCGAGTTCCTGACATGGTAAACAGTCGTAGGTCAGTCTCACAAATTATTATTAGAGTTCTTCACTACATGTTGGTTTTCACAGTCTTCAGGATCTTGGTGTTGATTTTCAATCCCACTGACTTTACAGAGGTCTGGAGGTCACTCATTTTGACCCGCACACTTCTCATTGCAGACTGGACAGCAGGAAAATGTCATCGGAAAGGTTAAGTCTCTGACATTACCCTCCCTTCTTCTACTATATTTCTCTTCACACAATCTATTACCAAGAGGAAATTATGCAATGCCTACAGTTATTTCACATTACTTAGTCTGCCATTGAATATATATTAACTTGTATAACTCTGTGGACCTATCAACTGATGACCATATGTTTCTGAGGGGCAGAAGAGTAAATCCAAGGACTTCCACAATATGGATCTGTCCACCTTGTGGATTTCTTAGCTGTCTTTAAGAAATTACATAAAGGTCTGATTACCATTCCTATGACTGTTTTATTGAGACAGATGGGCTTATTCTTTGATCTATGCAAATTATTTTCCACTTCTGAACACTAATCATTTTGGTTATATATCGTTTCATTGTCATTTTCTGCAGTCCAAGATAACACAGAAATCATTTGAGATGTATCAAGCTTGAATACCATCTCTCCACCTTTAGCTCTCAATCAGGATCCTCCTTCTTTGGTAGATTCCCTATTTAATAATTTTTTTCCACATTTTGTGGCTTCGTTCTTGCATTTTTGTAAGGCATTTATCGATTGTATTCTTTTCCTGTCCTCAAATCTGTGTAAAGGGCTTTTATTGCACAATATCTCTTCACCTTTTAACCACTCTCTTTGTTTCTACTCTACTGACGAGTCCTGGTTCAATATTCACATCACCTCTCCTTTTTATATCAGGGATTGTCCACTGTCTCACTGTTCAACAAATACATTTATTTGTCATATTTTCATTAAGTCGCTGATACTATACCAGACTTGTGCTTGCTTTCTTCTCCTGTTACCTGTCCAAAGATGTTATACTATATCTTCTTACAGTTTGAAAGTGTAGGATTGCATGTGTCAGCAGCAATTATAACTGCAAAATCTCAATTCTATTTTCAGATACTCTTCTAGCCTCAGTTCTTTGTGGCAGATGACTCAAATTTTGGTTCTGCTGCCTGTCTTTTTTATGTCATGTAGCTTCAGAATATCATGGCACAACATGCTTCATTATTGTGGAGATATACATTCTGGAAAAAGAAATATGTAGAGGAAACTTCTACTGTCTTTCCATTATATGAATCTGCAAGAACCCATTATTTCTTTTCCTCCCCTAACTCTTGTTGGATTGTCACCTGCAGAAAAGCTTTACTGTTCAGCACCTTTTGATAACGCTAACAAAAGGAAATTAATTTTACTGCCACAGACCTAGCCTCTAGAAGGTCAAATAAGCAAAATATTCAACACAGTTATCACCTGGATAAGCTCAGTCATCTTCAACGATCAATACCTGATTCTATTCTTAGACATTCTCCCTGGGTGCCTCAAGCACAGCACAACTCACCCTAAAATTTTGCCAAGCATCAATTCTGCTTGCAGCTGAAAGAATGGAAAACCTTTAGCTTATATGGATTTAGTAAGAATTTTTCCATACCTGCTTGCTCAGGGGGGTTCTCTGAGCCAGGGAAGAGAGAAAGCCCTTCCTCCTCCATCTCAAATACACTTGCCACCCTCTTCCCATGATCCTGTGTGCTGAGTTGAGTGGGACCCATGGAGGTCACACAGGAAAGGCTCACTGTAATCTCATCGCTGCAGCATTGTTACTGCCGAGCAAGGAGCTGCAGGCGTCTTTCTTTCAAGGTCTTTAGTTTCTCTCTGCTACTGAAACTCAGAAAGGAAGTACCTGTGGGGAAAAAAAAAAACAAAAACACAGATGCAAAAGAGGCAAGAGTTCAACTGCCAAGGCTATTAACTCCAAAAATCTATTACAAGCTGAATCACAGGCAAGCTTTAAGACTCTGTTTCCTTATTTATTAAAAAGGACAATTAACTTTATCAATGTTTATTCTCTTGAAACTCAATATTTTAACAAACCGTGGTAAAAGGTACAAGATTAGCACATCCAGGTGCAAAACTATCCTTTTATTGCCAAAATATTTATCAAAGCAGGACAAGTCTCCATCACTGCTAACACCACCCGGGGACTCCAGCCCTGACCTCGCCAAGTGTGTAAGAGGGAAATTCCAGACTTTACAACCAGTGGCCTTTGTTAAAGCTCCAGTAACAAACAGCTCATTGCTGTCAGCTGCCCTGGATTCTGTGGCATGTATCACAGAGCACACAGAAAATTTTAAACCACAATTTTGGTACAATGATTGCTTAGCAAAGACTACAAAACACTAGATTTCCCTATTAACATCAGTAACCAAAGGCTGTGCCAAGGATCAATGATGTGTCAAAGATGAGGATGACAAATCCTCCCCTCACCAAAAGCATGAATTTGAAAGCCAGCATATACCTGTGGGAAATGACCATCACACCACCCTCAGGAAACAGATTCACCACCAACCTTCTGAGGATACCATTTTCTGAACAAGGAAACCATACTGACAAGCGTCTCTGTTACACAGCATTAACTCCACTACACAACCTGAACCTGGAAAGCAAATCCAACTGCTTTTTTCCAAAAAGCCCCACCTGCACAAAAAAAGGCCTTAGTGGTTTGATTGCACAGACCCAGTGAAACTGATGCAAGCTGTGAATGGAAACCCCCCTAATCTGATTGAACACACGTTGCTCAGTTGATCTCAGTGATTTACCAATGCAAGCTAAAGGGATTAACTGATTTAAAAAGCAACAACGTTAAAGGCCTGTACCAGTTTAAGTTGAGTGATTGAGTTCAGGACTGGAAGCCTGCCACTCTCTGAAAGACGGGAGGTGACAGAAAGCAGTGCAGCAGCCCAGATACAGAAGCATGAAGTAGGCAGGGGCACACCTCACACACTGCAGTGCTGACAGAGGACCACAGTCCCAACTCCCTTCATCCCTCCTGGGCATTTGGACCAGACCGTGCAACCTTTCTCAGAATGCCAAAAGCAAAGATGAAAGCAATGCTTCCACAAACCAGCCCCCTCCCAGCACTCTGAACAGTCATCAAGTATAAATGCAGTCACACTGTGAAGGCTGCAGAGCTCCTGCCATCTCCCATTACACTGTGACAGGTAAGAGATGCAGGTCTTAAAAACCACAGGGCATAGCAATGCACGTAACCTTGTAAACACAGCCGCAGACTGGATACGGAATTCCGAACTCCCTCCCCTTCGGTGCACGCAGCCACTGAATTGCTGGAGAAACAGACTGTCTCGGATAACAGCAGTGGAGGCAAATATGAAACTCAGGGCCAGAGAAAGGAAGAAGTCCCATCGTTGGAGACTACAACCTAACTGATGGGATTTGCAACCAATTCAGAGAGACTCGCAGTCCTCAAAGGAACAACGTGGCTATCACAAACAACTTTTTTTTTAAAGTAGACAATTTAAAAAAAAAACAACAGTGTTTATCCTGCAGCAACTGAAAACCTTGTGGAGAGGCACAGAGCAACAGATGGAGATAGGAACTTCACTGAAACAAACTCAAACCCAACTTGTATTCCTAGTCCCATGTAAGCTCCTCACTGATGCTGATATCAGATGTCTCTGGACACGTTTGGGCATGAAACAAGAAAGCTAAGTGTACTGCCTCAGTGCATCTTCACATTCCTTTAAACCACGCAAAAGACTCACTCAAACATTAATTATTGCGCAGAATGAATCAGCAGCAGCAGCACTGCAGTAATTTTTCAAAGGAACAGTTTGAGCCTGCAGCTGAGCGACAGTGCTCAGGCCCCACTGCCTTCAGTTCAGTGACGCAGCCTTGCTGCATCCCAGCCACGACCGTGATGTATTTCAGAAAGCAAATGAGGAGGGTAGAGCCTGAAGGGATTTCAAAACTGCATCATCTGCACAACTACGACTGACATTGCAAGAGCGAAACTTGCTGTCAAGCAGGACATCTGGAGCCCAAAGGGGAGGCTGCAGACTTCCTGGCGATGTCTGAGCAGCCTGCAGCTACCAGCAGGGAGGGGAGTATAAATGTGTGCACACCCAGGACATGGCACACGGTACAGCCTATCAGCCGCTATCTTTGTGCTGTAAAACCAACCCACACACTCCTACTTTGTGCACCAGCTTCCAGCCTTCCCAGAACAGAACAGGACAGAGAGAAGAGGCCTCTTGTCTTCTCTGCCCCTAAGATAGAACATTTTTTAGTTTTGTAGATCCAGTAACATTTGCAGGCTGTGGAAAACTGACCTACAAACAGCAGCACTCTAGTGCTAGATAAAGAAATCCAAACTACCATCTTCCCCACAGGCACACAAGTGAGAGGGCCAGGGAGTTAGTTTTCACAGAAATATGTGAGGATTGTTTTCAAATTACTTGAAATTTTGTTGAGTTTTGTACTAATAATCATAAGAGGCTCACATCTTCTGATCTGCAGCACTTCAACTAACACTGTAGAAGGGTGATGCAAGCCAAACTGCAGGAGGGAACACTGTCTTCTTGACATAATCTGCTGCACTGCCTCCCACTGTCTGTCTCAACGCTGTGAGTTTTAGAAACCAGGACTGGCCAAGTGACAAAAGATGAAGCAATCGCTTCTCTCTAACGCAGCATCTAGAACAGAGGAACCTGATGAGCAGACATACTCCAGTGAGGAAGCACATTTAAGATGAAAGGCTAAGGGAAACTATTTTCTGCCAGCCCTTGCCACCCATGTCTCAAATGAGACGCCGAACACTTCTGAAATGTGTTGCCACCAGCTTCACCCTACTCCACTTCTTCCTTCTCCCTTTCTTTTCTGAGACAAGGGAACAACTCAGATAGCGATGGTCTCACGATCGGCGCTCTGTTAACAGAGACGAGAGGTGGCAGCCCTGGCTCTTGCACCTCATGTTAAGTGCCAGAAACGTTCATCACATCCTCCAGCAATAGCATCATCTCATCCCATTCCCTCAGCTGAGTCCTCTCCCAAGCCCAGCTGAAGCACTTATGCACTCTTCTGGAAGTCTTTGATCTGACCTGTCATCACCAGACACAAAGCTACAGAAGATGCCTCATTCCTGTCCCACATTAACTGAGGACAAGTAAAGGACATGGCACTGTGCAGCACAGCACATAAAGAAACCAAATGAGCCAGATGCAGTTACTGTGACACTTCTGCTGAACAGGTCTGTCCTCTCCCTGGTATTCCTTGTTTGGTGCTTTCTGTGAGAAGTTTAATGATCAGGAACCAGACCAGATGCAAGTATACCTCTGAAGAAACAGTACTGCTGAGTGCAGGAATGATCAGAGGAATAGGACAATGAGCTATTTAACTACAAACACTGGATGTTCAGAGGAAACGGCAGCTTTTTAGGAAGTTTGCACAAGTCTCTGGGATCTTTCAAAACAGGATTTACTGGTCAGAGTCCTGGTCCTGTAAATTACCAAATCCTTCAGCCTTCTGCCAAGGGAAAATAAAAGATTATGTTTCAGTTCTGTAATGAATCACAAGTGGCACTCTGCAGCACCAACAGAAGAGACCTTACATTTTTACACATATGTTAACATGACTCTGCTCACATTCTGCACAGCTATGTGTCAACAGGACTATGCCTTCGTGCACGGGCCTAACAGGCTGTTGGTGAACAAATGCATCTGATAGGAAAGGCTATGCTTCAGAGGTACCTCACGCAGGCATGTAATCTGGCATTTTGGCTTCTAAATGTGTTCTGGCACGCAACACAAGTGTCAGAACCCAATGTGAATCTACCTCTGAAGCTGGGCTCACGACAGTGCAGAAGGGTCTCCACTGAAATCTAAATATCATCACAGTGGTGATGCCACCTCAGATATCAAAAGCTGGCTGCAGATCTAAATGGCCAAGAAAAAAAAAAAAAACAAACACTGTTGGACTGAGATTTCACAAGACCCTACAGCACCACCACAGAACTAAGCCCCTTAGGAGACACGAGTGTTCCAATCCTTCCATAAGGAGCAGGCAGTACTTGGTGACCTAATGATCCTCCTATACCATCTCTGGTGTAGCAGTCAGCATACTTTCACAAACCTCCCCAAGGAACTTGTTACTACCTTTTGGCTGTCTCAGAGAAACAAAGGTTATTCCCAGCTCATGTTGGCTCATTCCTCTTCCTTCCCTCGGCATCATCACATTTCTCAAGCAATGCTGGAGCAGCTAGCAGGTCTGTAAGCGGGGCAAAAGTACACATATAACAGGTTTCAATTAGGAAAAAGTTGAAAGAGACACTACTACCTTTCAGAACAGAAAAAGACTCCTATGCAAATCTGTCACTTTGAAAATGAAGTAATATTACAGCGAAAACTATTAAAACTCATGAGGAAAAATCAACTTCAGATTGTGAACAGGACAAACCATGAAAAAGCAAGGTGAGCAAAGCAGTGCAACAGGATAGCATAAAGAATGATTCTGAACGGTATATTTACAAAGAATGGGAAGAACTGCTCCGTAACTCCCTGGGAACAGAGACTAGCTCTGTGCACTCACTGTAAATCCCTCTCTACAGAGAACTGCAGGGACACAGTTTGAAATCAGATTATCCATTTTGATCTCTCAGAAGCATAAAGACAACCACTGGAAGTAGTTTGCAAGCCACCACTAGTCCCAAGCTGATAGGGAAAAAAAAAAAAAAAAAAAGCTACAGCCTCCCCATTGCTTTTATTTGTTGTCAAACTAAGCTTCAGCTGACCACGAACAGCCGCCCAAGCATGCAGCACTGCCCTGGGAGCCTTTCAAGTCGCTGCCACCTCCACCAGCTATGCGCAAGAGTCCTACCAGTCACTCCTGGCTGCA